TTTCATGTTCTGCATGCAATAGGCCTAACAAAGAAAATAATTTATTGGATGTTTCAGCTGTCTGCCCTTGTTGCACATGCGCAGACACAAATACATGACATGTCATAAAGCTGGCAAGCTCTGAACTTAACATTTTAGAAAATTATTGGGCATATTCTCAGAAGTTATTTGGGAGATTATGAGGACATTTACATTCTTATTTGTTTACGCCTTAATGACCTTCAACTGAAACTAAACGACCTTGAAATGTTGACAGAAATGATCACTGATGTATTATCTACAATTCTTCAATATATATGCATACACAAAATATTTACCGTTTTCGAGTTATTCGGGGAGATTTAAATAGTCTACTGACATAACACGTGTTCCGGTGTTGGTGATATTTCAAGGACGTCGAGGGTCATTGGTACTTGTGCATCCATGTAATACTTTTTTGTCACAAATAATGCATGGTCTATATAACATATGGTTAACATATAGGCAAACCCAAATACTTACCGAACCGCTAGAAGTGCTCGACTTGGTTTTTCAAATTTTTCCCACTTGAAAGCTCTTGTTTATAGCGGATATTTACAAGGGAGGACACTCTGATCTTGGCAACTAACTTCCTATCAGACAATATCTCAAAGACTATAAATATATTGATATTTACATATATAAGGTCAATTGTAGAAATTCATGTAGCGGTCATTTTGGCTAGCCATTCAAGGTCATTGCTTCCACTGTCAAGGTCAAACAGCCGTTTGCATATTTCATCATGAAATATCTCAAATACTATAAATATATTGATATTTACATATATATGGTCAATTGTAGAAATTCATGTAGCGGTCATTTTGGCTAGCCATCCAATGTCATTGCTTCCACTGTCAAGGTCAAATAGCCGTTTAAATATTTCAAAATAAAATATTTCAAAAAATATGAATATCATGATCTTTTATGGCTGACCACACAACATCGGTGTAATATGAGGCCTTATGACTGACCGTACAACACCGGTGTAATATGAGGCCTTGTGACTAACCGTACAACACCGATGTAATATGAGGTTTTATGACTGACCGTAGAACACCTGTGTAATATCAGGCCTTATAACTGACCCAACTCAATATTCGGTTGTTGACCAAATACAAAAATTGGGGGTAACTTTTTAACCCACCTTGTAAAATTATCAAAAAAGTGATGTTCAAATTTTCTAAAATACTCAACATACCACCTATCTATATATATATTCTTGTAATATACATTATAACGGACAAAATATGACATACAAAACAATTTTAGGTTATTGTCATATTTACTGGTTACTACTGTTGTGACAAATTATCAAAAAAAAGTGAAATACAATTTTTCTTAAATACTAAACATACCAGCTATTTATATATATAGTCTTGTAATATACATTATAACGGACTAAATAAGACATATATAACACTTTTAAGTTAATTAATATGGAAATTAGACCCCTTATTATAATAAAGTCCTTAAAAATGGTAGTTGTTCTTCGCTGTTTAGCTTTCAGCATTTAGAGAAATGGCAGTAACTAGTTCACCCGATGACAGTATAATATGACCGGGCGGAATGCACTGCTGGGTGCCTTCGGAGATAGCACTATATTAAAACCGGCATCAGATCCGAGGTATCCGCGCATACGCCGTCTCCGAAACACATACACACATGCACTCACACAGTCATCGTTTACAACCAAAAACAATAATATAAAATTCCTTAAATTTCGGAACACTGCTGGTTTCTCATCTTCCCGACTCTCTCCCTCCTCTTTAGAAATGACTTTCCTATTTTCCCCCATTATAGGGAAATAATTTCTGGCACAAAGTCTTTACAACTCTGCCTAATCAAATAAAAAGATGAAAAAATGTTACATTAACTTAAAAGTTTGCCGTTTTACATCAATGATGGCGTAACACGTGCCCTATGATAAACCGGCTTGTTTTGGATTCTAACTTTTGCATACATGTATTTACATCAAGCAGGTCATAATCAAGAATCCAGAATACGTCAATCCAATGTTACACCCCAACAATTTACAAATAATGTCAAATATAGATGTTTACCAGCACACACAAGTAGACGTACAATTTATGCGAAACCATGTAAGACTTTTTTTAATGAAACTTTCATTTTAATTATCCGATGCTTTGCTTGAATTTCTTTGGTGTCATATGTTTAGGGGTAATGTGGGCAGTGTTTCAATATTGTGCCAAAAGACAAAGTTAGCCACAAATACCTTTTCGTTCGTAAACCACAACTTCAAACTTCAGTGAACGTGTAGGCGTGCGTTGTGATCCACAAAAATGAACTGCTCCCAAGATTTATGCAGATCAATGGGGGTGAAAGAGAGTGAGAGAGAGAAGGGGGGATGAGGGTATAAATAGAGAAACAGAATTAAACAAATCCTCCCGACCTACCTAGAAAATTTTGCACTGAAGAAACACTAGCGTCACCATTACAGAGTAAGTTTACATCAATAACACCATCATACCATGCTAAATCTGTATATAATATTCTACGTAAGTTCTGATATAGAGGACCAAAAAAGTAAAAAATGCTAAGAATCTTCACAGGGATGCCCACATCTATTAGGTTGGCTATAAAAGATCATAGTTGAGTGGGCTTGCTCGGTTTCTAAGACGACAGTGAAGAATATTTAATTTCCTAGACCATAACTAACAAACTTCTTACTTGAATTACTGTTCACCAACAAGGACTTTTTAACATTTGACTTGAACGAATTTAATGAGGGTGAATTTCTGATACTGTTATTCAGATTGTCCAGTTTCCTGATATATGCGGATTGGTCGAGTGGTTAACACTCCGGCCTTCCAAGCAGGCGGCCGGGGTTCGATCCCCGAAGTCGCCGTACGCATGGAATATTCAGAGAAAGTGTTTTTCTCCTGCCCACACAACTCCAACAACCCAGGTGGAGTATAAAATGGCCTGGGGTGGGTGTTGCGGTATCTGTGCTGTGGCATTCAAGTGAGGTGGCACTTTGAATGATACCGTTGGAAGCACGGTCCTACTACAAACAGAACACAATACATCTCCACCACACACACAGGCATACACACATAGGGAGATATTAGCCAGGTGACATAGGACTAGTAGTTAGCGGCTGATAAGGCAGCTCCTGAGAATTCCTCAATATTGCATTGATTAATATATATGATAATTGTATAGCTATGTACTGTAAAGCGCTTTAGAGTGGCTTATGTTATCTAGATAGGGCGCTATATCAAATGTTGTATAAATGTTGTATTTTTGTTTTGTTTTTTTGTTTGTAAATGGGCAATCCAGTGACAATTCTAGCAGCTTCTAGTTGATTTTTCTCCCGTGTTAGGGAGTTAGTTTCACCGGAAATAACTTCTCTAAGTTGTTCCTTTTTAAGATAAGTTTGAGCTTAAGGAGGGTTGCAGTATATTTTGCTATTTTACTAACTATGTAATCAGCATGAGAGTTCCATTTACAGTCGTTAGAAATAATAACACCTTAACTTTCTATAATAACATTACATGTCTTAAATCTCTTTTCAAAAAGATACCTGTCTCTTAAATTTTAGGCTTTCTGAAAGCTGTTGGTCCGGATAAAATTGGAGTCACTCTAGCTAGCCACTTTCAATATTCAAGAAACTAGAAACCGGAATTCAATTAATTTGGGAGATTGTCGCGATGGCGAAGTTGTGTGTGAAAAAGGTACGAAATGTGTGTGGAATCAGTGTTTGAAAAGTAGATATGGTGTTTATTGGACATTTGTAATTTTTGTAATTTTAGTCATAATACATGTATGATAAAATGAGTTGAAATGAGTAAGGTCCACATTTGGCACGAGGTCCCGTTTTGTTTGGTTTGTATTCTGGCGCAGGTCCTACTGATTTGGCACCATTTGCACACACACCTACAACATACGTGGAGGCACGTCATTAAATGATCTTAATTAGGTGTTAATAGGACGTTAAAAAAATAAAACCAAACCAGGGGATGGATTACCTATTGTTTTCGTCGGATTGTTTCTTACCTATTGTTTTCGTTGTATGGTCAGGTAGACCAGGTATGTTGGTATCTCGATTTACAATTGTTGGGTTGTTCGTTAGGAATAGATCTATACTAGTATACACAGCTGATACAAGTATTCACATGTGAAGTACCGTACCAAAATTCAATAAATGAACGTATTCATCTGCCTTTGCATAAGTACTGAACAGGAAAGAGAATAATTGACTTAAAAGTTAAGCGGATGGAACATTTTAATGAGAATGTGCGTTGATTTACATGTGTTCGTGATAAATACAGATGTAAATACAATTTGTAATTCTAAGTTACTTTTTTCATCATCCACCTGTACTGTACTTAGACGCATTGTTTAAATTTGTCATATATATCAGTACCGTTATCCGAGTGACAATTCCAGAGCAAAGTACTACAATTTTTACCAATTTAACGTACTCTTTAATAACCATTACAAAATGCATCATTAACACAAAGTGTATTTAACCTCTACCACGAACTTTAAATAGCAAATCTAATCTCGTGCCTCTACACATCAGCCCATGTCTTGTCTTGTCTTGTTGTAGTGTCTTGTCCTCCTTTCGTACAGGAGCTGTCCAGGGATCCTGGTATATCATATATGGATTAAAAAGTCATAAAAACCACTATTTGGGTTGGTCCATTAAAATTCACGATATGTATCCAATAAAACATGTGTTCCTTTGGTCTTAATGCTTGGTTATTATGTTCACCTAAACATGTCATTTGATTCCGGGGTTTTTTCACAATAAGACATTCCAATACTGATTAAGAAAATTAAAATAATTCCAGACGATGAACAGACTTTATATTGCGCGCACTTGTAAATTCCAATTAGCGCCAAAAGTAGTAAGAGTTACATCCCTTTACCGATTTACAGCCGAATACAGATGTAAACCCACTTTTCATTGGCTATTACGCTGATGACGTTATTTATTTGGCATGTTGGGGGTCTGAGCATGTGTATTACGGTTGTTACCACGCTTCTGTCACCTCAGTTGAAGACTTATGAATGGAATACCACTTGTGTATCGTAAACGGAATCGGTAGCAGATCTATCAAGATTGTCCGGTCGCTTTTGACAAATGCCTTTTGAATACGAACCCCTGGATAGTGCATATAAACTGTAGATAGAACTTTATGAGGAGAGTCCCTTGAAGTTGAGGTAAGTTGAAGTTTTGGACTGTCACATAACTGGGTGTGTATCTGTATGTCCTGTTTGTGTCTAAATTTAACTTGTCATTTCTCCGAGATGTAAGCATATCGTAAGACTTATTAAAATTGGACCCTATTTGAGGCATCTTATCGACCTCTTTTTGTCATATTCAGCATGGAAACATAGTGGTCATAGAGTATCTGGAACTGTCAAACACTTTTCCTATATTTTCTGTATACTTCACTTTCACTGTTTAAAACTAAAAGCGCAAGTAATATAAAAATGTCATATGGCATACTTCTTAATCTTTCAGCTACCAGCCGAACAAACCTACTATCAGGAATATTTGCTGGTTTTTTTTTACAAATTCTTTTGCAGGTGCCTTACATGTATGAATAAATCCACAAAGCAAACTGACACAGGGCTAATACTTTGGTTAAAAATCTTCTCATACTCCTAAAAGCTCTAAGTGGTTTCTTCTTTGAAGGGTTTCATATGGGCCAGGTGCTACAAATACATTCCACTCTGGGTGTACATAGCTGTCAACCCTTGGAACCCCCTCATTCAAGTCCAAACTCACACAAACTCAAAATCTACACCCTGTGGTCAAATAATCTCCTGGTTACTGCAGGGTGTGTGCAATGATCATAACAGATGTCTGAATCAAATGAATGCTATTTGGAGTTATTTCGATGCATAAAAAGGTAAGGATAAATTGAGCAAAGCAGTTTCACACACTTTCTCCCTCATTGGTAATGTGGAATGATGGAGGTCTCCCTCATTTGAGGTTTCAGAGGTTGACACTTATGGATGTAACATACTGCTCCTGGAAAATTGGGTCAATTTCATGTCATAGTATAGTATAAAGGTTAAAAAGAATTATGTAAGTATTTAACCAGCAAAAAAATATTTTTCAATTGCCACTGTAAATAATTGTTTTTATATTTTCAAACTTACTGATAGTTGGTGATCACTGATTTGATAGTCAGTATACTAGTGTACCAGGAGGGGGAAAATGCACAGCCAGATTGGGAGTCAAAGCCCATGCAGTACCTTTAAACTCTATGAACAGACAATATACCAATTGATTATGTATTGCATGGTTAGGAGAAGTCTGCTAAATGTGCATGGTACTAGAACTAGCCAACAGAATCCTTTATTTTTCTTTACAACACATGAAGAGCAAGATAGTGTACTGAAGGTTTCCATGGTTCGATAAAATTCAACTTGCAATGTTTTGTTGTAATAGCATGGGAAATTGTAGTCCAAAATACCAGACACTTATGTAAGGAATAACAATTCCTGATTTTAGGTAAATGGATGGCAAATTTTCTCTATTCTGGGCTGTAGCAATGGCAATCTATCAATGTTTTCAGAATTCTGTGGCATGCAATATATCATACATTTTAATATGATCTGCATTACTACTAAACAAACCAACCGAAGTAAGCTGCAACTGTTACTCTGGAGTGATGATCTTAATGTTATTACAAATTTTGTGACATGATATATAAGTTATGCAATTGGTGATAGCTCTCTGATGCTGCCTGTTGGCTGTTCCATTTGTTGAAAATCTGAGGAATGTGATTTTATGTGAAGAAGAAAATTGCTTGAAAACTCACTCATTATTGGTTTCGTTTGGTTTAATTTTGTTTCACGTCCTATTAACAGCTTAAGGTCATTTAATCACGTGCCTCCATGTATGTGTGTAGATGATGTGTGCTTGCGTGTGTCTATGCAGGAGACGGGGTATGTTGGTGTGCTTGCCTCCTTGTGATAGCGCGGATCTGATGCCGACTTTATAGTGTCAACTCACTGAAATACCATGCCGAAGGCACCCAGCACAGCATTACGGCCTGGTCACATTATACTGACAACGGGTGAACCAATTGTTGCCATTCCCCTAAATGCTGAACGTTAAGCAGGGAATAACAACTACCATTTTTAAGGACTTTGGTATGTCCCGGCCTGGGGACAGAACCCATTGCCTTCCTCACCTGGGCGAATGCTCAACATTCAAGCCAAAAGTGAGGTGTTGCCAAGCAAGGCGCTAGGAAATAGAAGGTAGTTAGAAGTAGAAAGCTTTGCAGGAATGATCAGTATCTTATGTAGTTGTGCACCAGCATTTTAATTTGGGATTTCAACCCTTTTTAATGGAGTTATAGCCCTTTCTGTGAAATACTTGTCCGCGCAACTCCTCTTTAACGAACAGGTGGATTTCATTGAAACTTTGCATGAATGATCAGTATCTTATGTAGTTGTGCACTGGCATTTTAATTTGGGATTTCGACCCTTTTTGATGTAGTTATGCCCCTTTTGCGAAATAATTGTCCATGTAACTCCCCCTTAACTAACAGGTGGATTTCATTGAAACCTTGCACGAATGAATGGTATCTTAGGTTGTTGTACACTGGCCTTTTTATTTGGGATTCCAACCCTTTTTATACGCCCGTCAAATTTGACGGGAGTATTATGGTATGGCGTTGTCCGTCCGTCCGGCGTAAACTTTTGTTTGTCCGGCAATCTCCTCCTACATTTTTCAACGGATCTCTTTGAAACTTGGTATACATTATAATCATGATGTGAAGTTGTGTCTCCCTTAAAGGAATTTTGATTCGACAATTTTTCCAAATGTTATTGCCCTTTTTTCATTTCAGTATTTGATTTTTGTCCGGCAATCTCCTCCTACATTTTTCAACGGGTCTCTTTGAAACTTGGTATATATTATAATCATGATATGAAGTTGTGTCTCCCTTAAATGAATTTGGATTCGACAATTTTTTTCAAAAGTTCATTTCAGTATTTGATTTTTTTATCCGGAGATTTTCTCCTACATTTTTATAGCATGTCAGCTAACCACTCTTTGAATGATGCAGATCTTATTTCAATGTAAGAAAGTATATATATATAACACTATATGGCATTCGACGGGCGTATATTGTTCCGCCCCGCGGTACTCTTGTTGATGGAGTTATGCCCCTTTGTGCGAAATAATTGTTTATTTTTTTGTATTCAATAAAACAGTGATTACCAAAACTCATTACTTGTGGGAGACTATATTGTTTTGCATAAGTAAGCCTTTAGCGTACAGTTCTGGTTTATATAGGAGCGGGGGTATTAGTTAGCCTTTGGCTTACAGTTCTAGTTTCTCTTGCCTCATTACTTGCATGCATATTGCATGTTACAAAATGGCCACCATGGCTGCCACGTCAAAGTTTTGACTATAGGCCGAAAAATAACAACACTTTCTTAGCTCAATGGCACCAGTGGAACTGGAGAAGAAGTTTAAAATGTGTTTTTCAAGATGGTGGCCATCTTGGATTTCAGACCGACCCGAAAAATAACAACACTTGTTCATGACCATCTCAGGATCATTTTAGACAAGTTTGAGCTGAATCCCACTGGCGGAACTTGAGAAGAAGTTTAAAATAGCTGTTGTTCACAAAAACCATGATTTAATCATGTTGCAAAAATGGCTGCCATGTCGAAGTTTTGACAAGGCCAAAAAATAACAACACTTTGTCAGCTCCCTTTCCTTAACATCCCCACCAATTTTTAGCTCAGTGGCACGAGCGGAACTGGAGAAGCTAGAAGTTTAAAATGTGTTTTTCAAGATGGCGACCATCCTTGATTTCAGACCAACTGGAAAAATAACGACACTTGGTCAACTACTATCTCAGGATCATTTCAGGCAAATTTGAGCTGAATCCTATAGGTGGAACTTGAGAAGAAGTTTAAAAATGTGAAAATTTAAAGATAATTCTCAAATTCAAATATATTCAACTTTGACCCATACCGAAAACCGGAAGTTGACATTTTACTCAAAAATGTTTCCTGAGAAAAAATATTTATTTATTATTCTGCACAACATATCCAAAGATGAATTAAATACATTTACCCGTTAATGAGGTATTGCAATTAGAGAAAAAAAATGGATATGACGTCATGGCGACTGTTTTGTTTTTTCGATGAAGTTAAAAATGTTACCAAATGTTAGAGGACATCTGGGGGAACCTTTTCCATAACAACTAAACGAAATATTTGTCATTGATATTGGAGGAAAACAAGTTTTACCATATAGTCCGCATTTTCAAAAGATCAAAGGAAATATTGAAAGTGGCGTACAACGTTAACGGTAAATGTTCCAGAAAACTAAAGACATCAAATTCATCGGACTGACATTCAGCATCGATCTGTAAATGATCTGTAGTAGATTTTTTCCAAAAAATTGGGGAAAAAAATGAAAAACAAATTGTGACCTTTGACCCAACAACAGGCTTTTTAAGTTTTTTGTTTGACATTTTTTTGTATTAACATGTAATGAGAAAAAGTTAGATTTATGAAAATTACCAACAAAGATATTATTGCACAAATTCTGTACAACATTAAGGGTAAATGTTCCAGAAAACTAAAGACATCAAATTCATCGGACTGACATTCAGCATCGATCTGTAAAAAATTGGGGAAAAAAATGAAAAACAAATTGTGACCTTTGACCCAACAACAGGCTTTTTAAGTTTTTTGTTTGACATTTTTTTGTATTAACATGTAATGAGAAAAAGTTAGATTTATGAAAATTACCTACAAAGATATTATTGCACAAATTCTGTGCAATGAACGGTTTTCAAGTTATCGCTGTTTTAAAGATTTTGACCTATGACGTCATGACGGCCATGATTGATTTTTGACCTACTTGAAAATGTTGCAATGACACCTTCAGACATGGACCTTCAACATACTTAACGGATTATAAACCTATCTTTTACCAATCAAAAGATAGAGACTCCATAAAATGCGAAAGAAGAATAAGAATAACTAGAAATTGTCATAGACAATTTGACGGGCTTTTTGTGATTGCTTGCTACACTTTGACACTAAAGGACAGTTAAGGTAACATACATTTGATTCAATTTGTCTGCAGTCATGTTCAGTAGCTTAATGCTGAAATATATGGTACATTTTTGTATTTTTGGAAAAGTTAAAGTTGTACAACCTATATCATAATTTTT